TTTTTAGGGACCAAGTTAGTTTTCAGATCTGATGCCAAGATAGGTGAACTGGAAATAGAATCCATCATGACCACATCAGTAGTAAGGGACGCACTAACCTCAACTGGAGAAGATACTGCAGGCTCCTTTGAAGGAGCAGTTTGCAGAGAAGAATTCATAGTTGGAGGAAGCGCAGTAGGAATCAAAGGAGGAAAATGGGAGAGTGATAAAGGCAAGGAAGGGTCAGGGGGGTCAGGGGGAATAGGAGGAGGCGGCGAGATACTACCACCAGCAGTGGGAGGCAGCGGTTGCAGGCCGGAAGCACAGCCATCAGAGAACCAGCGGTTCTGCATTTTGTAAATCTTTTATTTAAGGTTTTTTTTTTATTCTTCTTAGGATATAAAATATTTTAATGTTACATTTGAATATTGGCATTTAAATGTTACATTCAGAGATTAAATTTAGATGCAATTCCAGATGAAAAAGTATTCAAAGCATATGTACGCCATTCTACAAAACAAAAACATTGTTTCTCAAAACGGTATAGTGAATTCCACAACCGATTGAGCTAAGAAAATTTTTAAAGTTTATCTCCAAAGGATTAACTTTCGGATATTCTGAATAGTTTTTTCAGACGTCCAGTTTCAAATATGGTTTTAAATATCAAAATTAAATGAAAAAAATGAAACAACATTGGACTCGATTAATTTAAGAAAGAAAACACAACGTGTGGAACCATAAACAATCAAACATCTTTAATGGCACGCACGTCCTCTTTCAAATTTGTCCTCACAAATACTAATGTAAGGTTCAAAACATTCAAGAACCAATGTAAGGTTCGATCTGAGTTGCAGAATCATTACTAGATCCGAGTTTTTTGTAACAAAAACATGGCAAGATCGCTCAAGAAATCAGCCAAGTTGAGTTTAAGACGAGTCCGGATCAACTCGCCGTCAATTAGGTACAAACCAGACTCGAGTTCCATAGAGAGGGACCAAAGAATCGAGTTTCTAGGCGAAAATGGCGATGATGGCGAGTCCGAAAGAGAAGAAACCAAAGAAGAAAGCAGCGAAAGCGAAGAGATTGAAGAAAAAGAGAAAGCAACGGCCAAAGTAATAGT